ACTCTACACATAGACAACAGTGCCACCTCATCGCTCCCATATCTTATTTGCGCATGCCCACCCTTCTGTGAGTTTCATGGTTAAGTTGCCACTATTTAATTTACAACCCTCGTATTATAAAATAACAGAATTTTTTGATAACTATTTTCAAAAGTAGTATTTTGCAAGTTATATTTATCATTTTTATAAATAGATACTTAGAATAACCACGTCTGGGTCACCAATATTGGTAAAAAGCATTAGACAATGCCAACCGTCATTTATCAATAGGTGCCCCAACATGGAATCTGACAAAAATTTTGAATTAGCATGTTTTATATATTAGTAAATTAAAATTGTATTTTTGTAGTGGTAGACACATTACAAAACTACGACCATTGTTAACAATCGTATTTCTTTTTGTCTGCGTAAGGAATATTCGAAAAAATAAGAAAAAGTGCTGTTAGACCTTTAAACATTGTCATCAAACTTCTTTCTTTCTTTATTTAACATAAATTGGGTGCCTGGGCCGCACAGCGACCCCTAACCCATACATGATGAAATAATTTACAGTGAATTAAAACATTTTGTGTTATGCTACATTATGGTGATTCTCATCAAACAACGAGCAACCGAACCAACCCAATCCAAACAACTCAAAAAAAGACTGGTAGCCAATCGAGTACGACTGGTTAAGTCAGTTCGTCGGGTGGATCCTAGAATAATCCACTCCACGACTTTTTTTTAAAAAAAATCTTGCCAAACTAGGTTTCCGGAAGATATTTCGGGGAGATTATTTTGACCGTCCGATTACCCCACAATCACATCACCAAAATTCTTAAACCTGATTGGTTATTTGATATGTATACGTACGCGAAAGTTGGATTTCGATAGAAAAGAGGTAAAAGGGTAAATTTTTTCGTCATTTATGCTTCTGATGTCTTGCTGTTAGAATCATAGTTATTATTAACCATTGGCAAAATGGGTATTGTCTTGGGTTTGATGGCGCCTTATTTGGACGTCATCATACTTTTCAAATGTTCAAGAGTAGTAGAAAACATTGCGCATGCGTCGTCATTGCAGCTGCTGTTTGATAATTATTTTTTTTAAAAATTATAATAGTATTCTTTAGCCAGCATTGGTGTAAAAATAAGCTTATTATAAGCTTTATTTTCACCAACAGGCATTTTTAATTTATTTACATAATAATATTTTGAAGTATTGGCATATTTTTTTTCATTATTAACTTATAATTACTGTCTTGATGGTGATTTTAATATAAATAGGAATACTAACGAAGGAAAAGTATTTTGTGACGTCTTGAAACACTTATATAGGCAGGATTTGAAAAACAATCCGACGACAGGAATATAAGCATCAATTGAAACAGTTTTTGCAACCCATAATTTGAAATGTTACGTCGTTTATCGGAGTCAAACCAGAAAAGAAAAAGAGTATTTGACCAATGAGTAACCAGTGATCGTAATAAAGCGATCACAATTATTTTCTATACCTGTTATGTTTACATTTTATTCCTTTATATATTTCTCATCATAAATTTATTTTAAAAAAAAATATGTTAAGTTCCTGATGAAAATCTAAAGACTGATGCTGAATTCAGCAAGTTTATAAAAAGAGGAACTGCTAATTGCTAATACGGCGCATAAATTAAAAATCTTAAGATCCGTATTTCATTTTTTAACCGTTATTTCATTTATTACCATTACTCTTTTTTTTTTGTACCTGCTGAAAATGGCGAGTGACTGTAAATTTGTAATAATTTAAATTGCTTTTTTTTCAATAATCAAATAGCAAAGTTTATACCAGCAATAATCACCAACTTGGCGAGATTTCAAAAAGTCGCTCAGATGTGGGCTATTCTTGGATTTTACCCCGTTAGTATAAAACATCCAAGTAACGAGAAGACATATTATACAGCGTATCCGATTTTCTTTCCTTAGCATATGAACAATATATATATATATAT